ACCAACTTAATGCAGGCGTGCTCAGCCAATCAGCATCAAGTAATCATGCCCTCTTGATTACCAAAAGTGCCCTCGTGATTAAGAAAAATGCCCTCTGTCTCAGCCAACCAGCATTCAGTTGTTTTGCCCCGTATCTGATAAGAATTTAAAGCGGCCCCGAATAAGGAGAACTACTAGCTGCTAAACATCCACGCAGCCCGGGCTCCGCGGCAGATGCCGTTTCAGGTTTTTTGTGAATTGAAAAGAAAAAAGTGTTCTGTGAGACATCAAAATTTTCTTTCCAATATTCATCTACTGGGCGCCTGTTAACTTTTCCTACCTACAGGGTGGGCGCTTTATTCAATTTACAAAGCTAATGGAGCTTCATCGAACATTCTAAACTATCAAATAAGATTTTTGAAAAGTCTTTCTTATTATGCAAGAACGTAACAAAACGAACCATAGAAAATAAATGTAACTTCAATTGAAACAACATTTCATGATCTACCACTTGTCACTACCGTTATCATTCCATGGAGTCTTTACAGCAAAGGCATATAACAAACCAAGCAGTGCAATGAACTGAAAAAAAATTGATTCAAAAGTAACATTTTGTGGCTGCTTTGGTTCCCGTGAGATTTTTAATATACGACGATTTTAGACGGCTATTTGATGAGCCGATTAGAGCAGGCACAAAAATTAATTGTTAATGTTAATACTATGTAAGAAATGATCAATATCTTACTAATATAGATTACTTCACGGAAACTGCGCGCGTAAAGAGACCTTTAGATTTGACTACGAGTACGAGATTGAGTAACAGTACAATTTTCGAATTTCAAATCAGTGACGTTTTCAGAGTCCTCGCTCTTCATGTTGGTTTTAGGTAGAGAGGCTAGCTCATGGGATGAGATGGGTATGTGACGTGATAATGTGAAGCCTGCAAACTAGAATTGGAAAGTTGTTCTCATACTCAATCTCGTACTCGTATTCGTACTCGTACTCAAATCTACGCACGAGTGCGTAAATACCGTACAAAGCACTTTTCATGCTGTAATTTGTTTATTTTATACTTACTGAGATTTTCACCTTCGACCGTTTTGATAAAATTTCTTTGCTTTTTCATTCAGCAGAACAATAGTCAAGTTATGTTTTTATTCAGTCCGGGAGCGCTTAATTGGCGCTTCTTCGAAAGCCTACTATAAATATTTTTCGTACAGAATGTTTACCTCTTCATCAGTCAACGCTTCAGGCACGTTTGATTTGTTTCCTTTGCCTTGTTTTTTAAGTTGTTTGCTTTGAGCTTCCAGACATTTCCTTTCTTGGTAAAACTCTTTGTCATCGATGCTTACGGGATATTTGCCTTCTTTAAAAACCGGCTAAAAAAACTTGAAAAGAGCCCCTGAAGGCTTAATGGTTTGTAATCCTGGTCATTCGTTTGACGTTTAAAATAAATATATGTTATTTGCCGGCTGGGAGGTCCGTAGAGTGAAACACTGTGACCGAGGTCTTGAAAATGCTGCCCGAGGTCACAATTTTTCACTATACGGACCGACCCTGAGCCGGCAAATTGGTGGTTTTCAGTGTCACGCCATAAAAAAATAGATTAAAATAAAAATCAAAACTGTTCAACAGATAAAGTCCAGAATCTGAGAAAAGAAGGAAGGTAAATATGCTAAGACTCTCGCCAAGATTCAGGTCACAACAATTTTTCTTATGCAAGATACGGGGAAAAACTTTTTACCTAAATTTAAAGAGATTTGTGTGGAGACGCCATGTTGGTGCCCATCTGGTTGG